GGGGTCTTTCCCTCCCTGGCCTGTTGATTGACCCTACTGTTCCTCCTCGGTCCCTCTCCCCCTTATAGCCCTTCTCTCTCCCTCTCTCATCTTTCTGCATCGCTGTGTCCTACCCCCAATTTTCTTTGCTTTCTCTGACAGTCTCCCTGGCCAGCCTCTCCGTGTCCTCCGTGTCCAGTTTGCGGTGGACCGTCTTTCCTTCTGTCTCTTCCTTGCTGTCTCTCTTGCCCCCTCCTTATGCCTGTGCCTTGGATTCCCTGGGTCCCAATCATCCCTTCTTCCCTCGCTGGCTCTCCTGACTGCCTCTGTACCTCTCTGCCTCTCTCCTTACTTCAGTGACTGGGTTTCACAGCCTGTCACTTCCCCCTGGGTTTCTTCCATGTCCTCCCTTCGGAACAAGCCCCACAGTATAGTCCACTCTTTCCAGAGCTTAAAAAGGCAATAAAAAGAATTTGGTAGCCATGATACCCTTTCCATTTACCCCCTTTGCTTGGGGACAGGGGGAGGGCTGAGGCATTACAGGGGACCAAACCAGTCCTTCTGTGGGGGTGGGGGCTTTGCCAGGAGACTTCCTGTTCTGGGGGTAGGGGGGTGGCCAGGTCTGGCTACCTGGTCCAGGTGTAGGGAGTGGGCAGGGCATGGCTTGGGCCCAGAATATGGGGTCTGAAGGAGAAGGGGGCTTAGGCCTGGACTCCTGGGTCCCAAGGAAGGAGGGGGTGCATCCTCGTGAGATCCATGACTCCTGCCAAGATCTGCAGTTGGGAAGGATTTATTATCACTAAGTGGCCATGACAGATCCGGGAGGAGGGGGTGACACTAACGAGGCTGTTGTAATCAGCTCCCCTAGAGGCAGCGATTAAGGGCTCATTACCCGCTGGGGAGGGAGCCTGGGAAAGGCAACAGGGGAGGGCTGGGTTAGTGGGGGAGGGCAGCCTCCAGGGAAGAGTGGGACACTCCAAGGGGGAAGATGACTCAGGAAGCTCCCAGGAAAGAGGAGAGAACATTCCAGGAGAGAAGCTGGAGTTGGCTGCTCAGAGCAGGCAGGATAGGTCTATCTAGCAGGGTTCCTGTGTAGAGGGAAGAGTCACGGCTTCTCCAGTTGGACATCTCCGATGTGGAGGCTGCCCACGTCCTGGTAGGTACCCTGGAGGCCCCTGGAGATGTCCTCATACATGGAGCAGTCATCAATGTTCAGGCCCTGGAGGGACACCATGGGGCCAGGGACATCAGTACTCTGACACCTGGGATCCCTGCTTCAGTCAACCCCAGGGAGGGACCCCTTGCAGGGATATGTTGGCAGGACCCCCAACATAGGTATTCCTGCCCTGTCCCCACCGTCCACTTACTTCATAAAGATTTTCATCTTCGTAGTCATCCTGGGTATCCACCCCAAACCTTTCATTCTGCCAGCGCTTCTGTGGGGTTTGAGTGGGTGGTAGGAGGAGTGAGTAGGAGGAGATGGTGAAGAATTTTTCAGACCCTCCTGGATGCTAATAGTATTTTTCCAGAAAGGGTATGGGACATGCCCAAGGCCATGTATAAGCTATGTGACAGGTCTCTCTGGGTTCAAAGCTAGTGTCCTTTTGACTGTCTCCACTGCATTATTATTCTTCAGGATTGACAACCACAACAATAACAGTAAATAATAATAGTTGTGCTGTGGCCTGCAGAGACGAAGTGGCAAGGACAGAGTGAGGACACAAATCCTGTGTACCTTGCTGTGGGCTACATCTGCAGGGGACTGCACTTCTGGGTGCAGGCAGGAGGATGAGAGACCCTGGGTGCATGAGCATCTCTCTAAGGAGGAAGAGTGGGGACACAGTGAAAGGGGAACAATGAGAAAGACCCTCTAGCCCACACCACTTAAAATGCTCTTGTTGTGTTAGTTCATTTAACCCGCATCTCCCCAGAGAGGTGCATGTTTTCATTCTCCCAAGCTTTGGGGGACGGAACCCTGGGGGTCTCACCCTGAACAACAGCAGTGTCCCCGGCACCACAGCACAGAACAGCAGGATGATGCCCTCGGCTGTGATGATGCGGTTCTTGGTGCCCTCTCCCATGTCCAGGAAGGGTCTGGGGGGTGGCTCTGTGAGGAGGGGTTGCTGCTTAGAGCCTTGGCACCTCCTGTCCCCTAGTTCCTTCCTGGTCCTCTCCCTCCCCTGGCCAGGCCCAGAACCCCTGAGCCCCGGAACCGCAGGTGCAAACATCAGTCACTGTGTTCATCCAGTTCCAAGCCCATGACAAAGGCACTGGCTCTATCCCCACTTCACAGATGAGGAGAGTGGTGTCCTAGCCGGGTGGTGGGGGACAGGGCGAGGCTACTCACCTCGAATACGCAGGTAGGTACCGCAGGAAGTCATGGATTGTCCATTATCTTCCACTCGGCACTGGTACACACCCCCGTGGCTCTTGTTCACTTTTGGAATGGTCCACTCGCCCTTAGAGCCTTGGCCGGAGCCCAGGAACTGGGGTGGATAGGAGTGGTTGCCCTGGATGATGAGCCACCAGGTGACATTGGGCCTGGTGGCATTGTTCTTGCACTGGAGTCGGGCCTCGTCCCCCAAGCTCACTGTCACAGATGGTGGGCCCCCATGCACCCACAGGGCCTGGCATCCAGGGCCTGCAGAGAGGTGGGTTGAGTCAGGGACTAGGGGTGGGGATGCAGGCCCCCTGGGAAGTTCCAGCACCCCTGGAGCACGGCCCCTCCCAGCTCACCCACTTTGGGCTTTGGCCTCTTCAAATTCTGACTTTTGAGTGTTTGATTTCCTAGGACTAAAGTGTCCCTGCCTAGACAGCTCCTCCCAGAGTCAGTGCAGACAGCGGCGCAGCGTGTTCCCATCCGCAGCCTCAGGCCAGCCCTGCGCCCAGCCCTTCACCCAGGGTAACCCCAGGGCAGAACCCGTAGTCCTGGCTTCCACTGACTGTGGGTGGGGGCGGCTGACGCCGAGGAGTGAAGGGGGTTGTCCAGCATCAGCAAGGTTGGGGCTGTTCGAATGGCTCTGGGGCTCAGACTCCCAGTTCCCTAGGCCTGTCCCTGCCTGGCACCCAGCAAACAGTCTAGGCCTGCCTTGGCTTGTGAGCCTGGACCTGTCCCCAATTCTCTGTAACTTGAAAGTGTCAACCTAGGGGGCCTGGGTGGGTTTATTCCTTC